ATACAAAACATACATTACATATATTAAACATACATTTAAACATACATTAAACTAAAATTAAGAACCTTAACCCTAAGAATAAAATTAAAAATAAAGTAAAAGATAAAAATATAAAATATTATATATATAAATATAATATATAAAATGAACAGTAGCTACAGTAAACATAATAACATAATGAGAGAACCTACTACTGTACAATGAATTTGTTGAATCAATGAATGAGTTTTTTTCCTTCTGATGAGTATTATTATAATAATATTTGCTCTGTAACCCAGTCTATATCAAAACTTACATACAAATAAAATGTCCTTTGATTTTCCTGTCCTTTGAACAGAGCCTCACATACGCCCATATAAATGTTCTGCTACAAGACATTCACATGAATGGATTAGACTAAGTGGTCCCTACCCACTAAATTATAGGAGCAGAAATGCTTGTGTTAATGGAGGCCGTAATAGCTTTTCCATAATATGCGTCTAGTAAACTGATGCAAATGGGAATCTACAATAAGTGTTATTGAGGCATATTTATAGTGGATGCAACTGCAGAGTCGATGCTAATGTCAGAGGATACATTATCAGCAGGTACACCACAGACTCTTTTGCTCTATTGTTCAGATCACTACTGGGATGTTGTCTCTTTGTGGGCGTCTGTGTGTGCTGCAGTTCTTCTTCTGTGTTATAAAACTGTGCCTGCCTGCCGCACTGAAAAAGATTTTTTTTTTCTTCTCCCAATGATACAAGTTGCCATGGAGATAGTGAACCCCACTACCCACTGCTTGCTTACTCTCTCCCATCCAGACTCCCATAGAGAATAGCTCCTCTGTGTATAAACCGCCAGCTGTTTCAGACATAAATAATAGAACGCAGAGAGCTGTGAGCTAAGCCTCAGGCATCAATAATGGATATGAGAGCTAGATGGATAGCGCTGCAGAGTGACAGCGTTGTCACAGGGGCTTGTTTTCACACTTCATCTCTCAATCGCACCCTGTTTATGTGTTTTAAACAAACTATCCCTGCTCTTATGATATGCTGATGTCAGTGCTAAATCTGGGATGCGGAGCTGTGCACTGGAGTCAATATCACTGTATGAGAACTAGGTCAGACCCACTATATGCCCAGCATACTGCAATGGGTGTGTGTGTTTGCCCATTTGTGCAAGTCGAATCGCTCCTGCTGGCCCCCAAACTTTGTGTGTTTGTGTGTGTGT